CACGCACACACACACAAAATAGCCCATGTGAGTTTTGTTTTCATCCGTATGATGACAGTCAATACCGCACTCATGTACGACACCCTGACATGTCGTGTCCAATTTGTAGACAGGGGCTGGAGCGGCAATGCCTCTACAATAATTGCGGTCGGCGTGCCTCTGTCTTCCTAGCATGTAGGAGCCACGTGGCCTGTGACATATGTCTACGCCGTGCCATTCGATGCAGCAACTGCGACGGCAAGAATTGGATGCGGTGCTTCCACAGTCCACAGCGCCTGCCCTCAAATTTTATTTATCTCCTCAATCTGAGTGGTGTATTGAGTGGAAGGATTGAGTTTCCGTAACTTCAGGTTATGGAACGGCGGAGGGGAAGGTGTTGTACATGATATTAAAGCTCAAGGCATCTTCTTCTAAATTTTGGGTCCATTGTGTATAATCTTCTTCTCATTGACTGCCGTTCTCTAGCAGTGTGCTCTGCTGGTGAGTATTGAGGACCCTATAAGTTTTGACCCTATAAGGTTGAGTCCGTTTGACCCCTATAAGGTTTGACCCCTATAAGGTTTGACCCCTATAAGTTTTGACCCTATAAGTTTTGACCCCTAGAAGGTTTGACCCTATAAGGTTTGACCCCTATAAGGTTTGACCCTATAAGGTTGCTCTCCTTCTACTCATAATGAACTTACTGTGGGACGATGACAATGGATTGGCAGTTGGTGTCTGAAGCCCAACTTCCAAAAAAGCAGGGTGCTTTGCCCATAATCAACTTCTTTACATTCTTGTTTTTTTCAATATTTTTTTTAGATTTCTTTGTTTTCGTCGTGGTCAACTTTTTATTAAGTTTTCATTTTTATATCATTTTTATATTACTTTATATTAGTTTATATTATTATAACTTTATAATGAGTGGGCATGCTCTCCCACATATGGGGAGGGGGGGGGGGCTCTCTCCTCTGCTCGTACGTAGCACTCCTTTGCAAAATTTTTTTTTTTTTTTTTTTTTGGACCATTTCTCGATTTATGTGTGTCGTCCTTGCGCAGGGGCCATGCTAATCTTTTCACTCTGTATCGTTTCAATTTTAATGGATGTCGCCAAGGACAAGTTCCTTCCTTTGCAATTTTCGCTCCCCGCTGTGGCCGTGGCTTTTCTGATTGAGTCAGCGACATCATTACTACTTTCAGGATGAGGCTGTGCCTTGTGGATTTCTGGCTTAGTTGGGTCGTATTCACGCTATACGGCTTTCTGGTACGCATCTGACCGCAATCACAGCCAGATTAGGTTGAAAAGCAAAAGTGTAAGTATGTGCCTACTGATAGAGGATGGAAGCAGACAATGAAATTAGACTCGAAGATTGAGCATCACTTTTTTTTGTTTTGTTTTTTAAACTTTTTTTTATAATTAAAAAAAAAAGACACATTGGCTCGTGGTGGCGTGCTGGTTATTACTGTTCAATCATTTGATGTGCCTTTTTGCAGGAATGCCTTCTGTTTCCCACAGGTTTTGCATCTAACCTTGCCGTCATCACATCCCTGTGTAGCCGGTCGCCGTCTGCTGCTAAGCGGAAAGGAGATGCCGACGCTTCAACGCAGAGGACGCTGGTTGGTGAAAGATCCCCCTGCTCTCCAATCTCTACGGCTGCGTCATTATCGTCTTCTGCTCTGTTCCCAGCCTCTTTTTCCTCCTCGTCCTCCGCAGTTCTCTCTTCACAGCGGCCATCACTGTCCTCCGCAGCATTGCCACAATCATTTCGAGTCTCATCGCATAGGAAAGCCGAGAATAGTACTTTTGGACGTACAGGGGATAACGATAGACAATGCATCGGGAGGAGGATCGCATCGCCACGAAAGGGTATTCGGGATGGGCCTGATGAGCAAGGAGGTTGCGCCAAGGCAGCTTCCGATGAGACCTGGGCTAATGATACGACACGGAGGGAGGAAGAGAGAAGGGATAGGGTGGCGGTTTTCTCGGATGCGCTGAACCATGCGTCAATTATCGACGGCATTCGACTAGCAGAAAAGCAGAGTGGCGCTGTTGTGAATGTTTATCGGCATAACGATATGCAACACCTGGACCAACTTCTGTAAGTATCAAATCAGCACTGGGTACACTCATGAACTGTTGAAATACAGACCCAAGTTGGAATCCAGATTATGCAACCAGATCAACAGCTCAAAACTGAACAAAAAAAGAAAGGAAAAAGAAGTGCTCGATGCTGTAATTATCAAACTTAAAGGTGCTTGATGCTTTGTCCAGTTTTCTTTATGTTCTCTTCATCCTTTCATAAATGACATCAAAGTTGATTCAACGTCTACTATGCTTCAGCCATGGATCGTAGGAGAACTGCTCAAGGATTAAAAGAAACCTTGCATCTCACTCACCTCACTCACTCGAAGACTGGTGGGGGTTCTCTTTGTTTAATTCCAGAAAGGAAGTGGAGGCGGAGGGGGTGGAGGCGGAGGAGGTGGAGGAGGAGGAGGAGGAGGAGGAGGAGGAGGAGGAGCAGGAGGAGGAGGAGGGACTTGAGAAGCGTACGAGGGGAAGGACGTAGCTGTCGATCTCTGTTGGAGTGTATCTGTGCCTGCATCTATTTGCTAATCACTGTAATCAGTCCGTTTATCTTTCAATCCATTTGTACATTTGTCCCCCTGTCTCCTTCTCTCTCCTTTTCTTCACAAAATGGTGACAAGAGTGGAATAAAGTTCAATAAACTGATACACTCAACTTTGTATCAGTTTGTACATTTGCACATTCGTCCCGCTGTCTCCTTCCCCTCCTTTCCTTACCCTTTCAATCCATTTGTACATTTGTCCTGCGTCTCGAGGGCCATAGGACGGGAAGGACTTGCCTGTCGATCAATCTGCTGGACTCTCTCTATGCCTACATGTATTTATTTGCTAATCACTGTAATCAGGCAGATTATCTTTTCAGTCCATCTGTACATTTATCAGCATGTCTCTCTCTCTCTCTCTCTCTCTCTCTCTCTCTCTCTCTCTCTCTCTC